ACTAAAAGTATTTAATTCATCCATACATACATATAGTACAAAAGTCGACATGAAACGCAGAAAAAACGATTGTCAAATGTAGCTCGAATTACACGACTTATTCACAGACAACGTCAGTATTCAGTAGTGTAAAAAGTGTCTTTACCAACTCTTGAGTAATATATATATTCTTGTTTCCGTCACAAATTATTTATTTTCAGACAAAAACGTGATGGTTTGTGATGCGCGTTTTAATTAATCAAGTGGTTTTCGGGACAATGCTAACATGTACCACTAAATTATAATATTGTATTCACGAATTCGTGTTTTGTGAACAAACAGCTTCAACAATCGCTGTATGTATTCAATAAATGATACCATGATAAGTACAATATAAGACAATATAAGTCTGCAAAATAAGACCACTATCTGGTAACGAGACTACAAGGAAATATGACCCCCTATCTGACAACCCGACTACATCCAAATAAGACTTCATATCTGGCAAGAAGACTACAACCAATTGAGACCCATATCTGGTAACGAGACTACAACCAAATGAGACCCCCTATCTGACAACCAGACTACATCCAAATAAGACTCCATATCTGGCAACGAGACTATAAGGAAATAAGACCCCCTATCTGACAACAAGACTACAACCAAATAAGACCCCTATCTTGCAACTCCATATTTTGCAACCGGAATGCAATGAAGTAACACCCGCTATCTGGTAGTTAAGACAGCAATATAAATATACCTCCTGGTAATCACACTGAAACGAAATAAGATTTCCATTACAGTGGGTACGATTTTGTGATGTATTTAACTTTGTCCTAATTTACGATGTTGTGTTGGTTGTAACTTGTCAGGACTTCAGTTCTACCCCAACCACCCTGGTATGAGGGACAATGTGTTATTTGTATAACGTGATAACGATACTGTAGATAAGAAATGGATGTCAATCATTAATCAAATAACAATGTTATCAGTTCAACTAAATCAGAATATTCTTTGCATGTAGTCAGTCTGTCGTTTTGGTTACACTGAGCAACAACCATGGTCACACATTCGTCGTCCATTTGTATACAGCTGATCAGACCACATCTAGGTATTCATCGTATCTCGGTAAGTCATATAAAGCAGGACCCAAATGGGAGCATGTTTTAACATCGTATAAAAAGTATTAACGGTCGATCTTTGGTGAAATTGTGAATATCAGAGGTTACGTAGTTGACGTGAAATATTCATGTTACCAGTATTTCACATCGTAGTCACAATAGTTACAATATAATAGTATCTTTTGTTGACACGTTAGATTTGTCACGCGATATATCAGTATAAACAAAATACACGAATTATAAAAATACGTAAGATCTTGGTTCAGACAAACCAATTGAGTGATTACGAATTCAGAGGCTCCGCTCGAGTTCAGAAAGCCTCCAATTTCATACGCGAACACAGCCCCGAGTACAAGCGTAAACTACCCAGAGAAGAGATACAAACAAGTACAGCTATCCAGTTTCATACTGTCGCCGCTGCGACGACTCCGACTGCACGGTTCAACTCCATGCAGTGACCAAAGCTCGATACTGACTGTCCACGGCAACAAGCTGAAATGGTCACAGTTCAAGGACAACTCCACTGCTGCTTGTCATATGTACAAAAACAAAAAACGAATTTCCTCGAAGACAAAGTCAGTCGCGTTATAGAAGGACTATTACACTATCTGCATAAACTACGATCTGCTCACCCGGTTTCTTACGATGATTCGTTCAATACATCCTCATCGGGTGGATCGATTTTGTTAGTGACATTACTATAAAGGGACCAGGCCCGTTGCCGTGAGCTCTCCATTAGGATATTTGCTGTCTGAATCACTACATCATGATAAACAACGCATGAATACACCGCGGTCATGTCTGTTACTACCGACGCCATTAGCGACGTCATGCTTGACAACCACGTTATTTTATGCTTGGATCTCGAATATATAGGAATAAAAAATGAGATAAACGATCCCGCTAAAAGGCTATCTCTAACGAACAACTCAAGCAATACACTCAAACTTGTTTGAAAAAAGAAGATGGAGGATTTACTGCCAAATTGCCTTGGAAAGGCAACAATGAACTGCTTCAAACGAACTTTAACCCTCACGTGACATTGTTGACATGTATGACAAGGTTATCTATTAACAATTACGTAGCGGTTATATTGAGCGAGTCATCGATGGCAACAACTCCGAGGTATACTACTTGCCTCAAAACGCTGTTAAATGAGAAAGCAACACTACTTCAATTCGCGTGGTTTATGACTGTAGTGCGAAAGGTAACTCTGGTCAGCCCAGTCTGAACGACTATATCGATACTGGACCACCACTACTAAATGACGTCACATCAATATTGCTTAGATTTCGTGCCAACCCCGTCGCCATAACCAGTGACCTTGTGTAGTCATTTATACAAATACGCCTGGGCCATACCGATCGAAATTTACTAAGTTTCTCTGGTTATCTGATATTAACGACCCGGAATACGATTTCATCACATATTAATTTGGTTCTGTGTTATTTGGTGGTACGTCGGGTCCATTCATTCTCAACGCCACTGTAAAACATTGAAGCCAATGAGGATATAACCGCTGTACGCAATCTCAATAGAGATGTCTATGTCAATGATATTGTATCTGGCTGTACCAATAGTGAAAAAACCATACAATATATAAGGATTCCACCAAACTCATGTCAACCAGATTTTTTAACCCACGCTCTTGGGAATCTAACGATTATAATGTAAGGAAACTCGCCTCCAAAGATGACAAGTCTACCACTTGAAACAAGGTTGGGATTCTCGAAATTCTGCGGGATTCTGAAAAGGACATTCTCGACCACAAAGAGCTTGACTTCCCATCCGTCAATACCTTGACTATGAAACGGGACATTGTAAGTTACTCAGCTGATCTCTACGACACCCTTAGATTATTGTCACCCGTACAAATGCGTGCTAAAATACTGATCCAATCACTGTGGAAACTAAATTATCATTGGGATGACCCCATTTCTGACCAACTGCAAAATTCATGGATTAATATTGAAGCGGACTTGCATGAATCAACCGATATAGTTGCCAATCGCAGTACTTTCCAGACAACAACAATACGGACATTGAAATCCACACATACACCGACGCCTTGGAAAAGCCATATAGAAGCGCTGTGTACATCTAATCTGGAAATCAGACTACGCTTATGATAGCAAAAACCCGTGTCACTCCAGGTAATAAACAAACCTTGACTCTACATCGAACGGCTGTCGTGATAGGAACGCGTCCTTTTTAAATTCTTCGACAACGCGCTAAGCTCCAAATATAATATTGTTTGACAAGTGATTTGGTCTGATTCGTAAATTGCTCTTCATTGAATATATGTACGCGGCCAAGCAGTTGTGCTTACCACTAGCCGTGTAAAGGAAATTTACAACAAACGTGTAAATATGTACCCACGGATTATAATCCTGCTGACCTGCCTACTTGTGGAAATAAACACCAAGGAGAATTGAAAGAATATGGTGGGAAGAACACACCTGGCTCAAATCACATAATTCGTGGTCTGTTTGTCCGCTATTTGATTCTGAACCAGACAATTCTGTTTATTACATATCCACGCAGAACAATAATATTCGAATTATCGAATCACGTGATCACACCAAGTCCATTTCGGATTCCATTGACAATGATTACAGTCAACATAAAATTATATTTGACCTCGCTCTCACCAATAGCACAATAGTAGTGATTCCCCTGTATCCATGGATACCGGAGACATCTCGGATATTAACCGGAATTCAAACACTATATCCTTAGAAAATTGTTCAATATCTGAAGTATCTGTTAGTATACAATATGCTGTCGACATCAACCGATTTAATGACTATAACAAATTGTGACGAGTTACAAACGCTCACCAAAGAATTAAGAACTGTATACATTAATAACTTTTATTGACTTTGAGTTGTTCGCTTCCATGTAAAGTATTTTATACATTATCTGACCTAGGTCAATGAACTCTTGCTGTTATGAACAATATCTTTTTCAAGCAATGATTCCGATTCAAATGAATTATCCAATTCTGTGTTTTCTATCAAAGTCAAAGAACTTTTGTTATTCTACTGATATTCTATGATAACTTGTCACTATTTTGTTTAGTTTGACACGACATGCGCTGTCGTCATCCCAATATCCCGAACCCCTTTCCTCCTTACAGGGGAGGACATCTGTCAAACTTTGCATGGTAGGGGGAATATAGAGGGTTGTCAGAGAATTATTTTTACATCCGCTTTTTAACTGATAAGTTCACTTACCCCCTCCCACGTTTTGCACGTTTTGGATTATGTCGTTATGTTGTAGGGGGTACCATTTATATGCCGCCAATTCTATAGAGTCAGACTATGACCGACATGGAGCAATTTTGAAATCTTATCAAAGACTTATATTATGCTCGTTTTATTTTCTAGATACGAAGTAAATTGTTTTATTTGTCATATGTCTGAAGCAAAAGTATCGTTTGTTTTCATGTTTTCCTACAAGTAATAACAAATTTAAAATGTATTTTTTTGCAAGTAAACCATGCATAGTTCAGTAGATTACGATCTCGATGTCAATAAATACTATTTCATTCAGCGGTAGTAAACGACTGTGACTCAAGAATTTCTAACATATCCACATGCCTTTCAAGAAACCTGAACAAAACACATTTTCTACTCTGCTGTCCGCAACGAGTTTGTAGAATCTCCTGCGTTCACACAAAATTTCAATCAGACCAAGATTTAATTATCACGGCTGAGCCAATCTGTTAAAATTATATAAATACGAAAACATACACACATTCACATAAAAACAGGTTGAATTCGGTTTTCTATTTAATGTATACAATATAAAATAAGATACAAATTTGTGTCAAAAGTCAAAAAAAACAGTTGACAAAAATTAAAATGAATTTCTCAAAAAAATAATCATTCAGTTATCCCAGAAATTGCTCAGACTTATGTAAAAAAAATACAACATCACAAATCAACAAAATTCAGTGACTTGATCTCCACATATGTGAACAAAAATGAGCATTATTGTCAGCGACTCAATAATGTAACAATCAGGGAAAATAAAACTAAATCTCAATTCATTGATTTGTCTGTACAACTTGATAAAAATCAGTAAATTTGGACTTCACATTTCAACTGTTATAACACGACCAAAATACAAGAATAACAAGAAAGGTGAGCCATAATATACTGAGTATATTTAACAAATATCCGAAACTCGCGGCAATATAAACATAGCAAAATACGAAACAGATTCAGTAAAAATGAAAGCATATTGTATACGTAGTGTTAGCAGAGATAAATATCTGTTCACAAAATTGAACTCAATAATCTTGAGAATATTGTCAAAATTTGAAGATTACCGAAAATTGTGTTGAAAACATCGAACAACGACCCTTCTGCGCCTGCGCGAAACACGAAGGGGTTCGAACACAGAAAAACTAGTTTTTGTTTGAATTGTGTTTTTATTAAAATTAAATGAGTTTGAAATGAAATCAGAATTACTTTACCTCGTAATTAGTAAATACTTAACATCTCATATTAACTTGTATACGCCATTTTAAAAGTATTTCGGAGACAGAGACAGCATTGATTGTGACATCTTCTTCGGTCACGCTTTGATCATGTGACCTCAGTGACGTCATTATGTTCTATTTTAGGTGAAATACGGCAATACTGTGATTAATGTTGGTATTATAGTGTTGACATGGTAACTCCAAAATGGCTGCTCGCAAAGGACGGTGGAATTCTAAAGATAAGAGTTACATTGCTGATCGCCGTGGTCTTAGAAAAATTCCTGATGAGCTATTGAAACCACCAATATGTCACCATGTGAGAGTGATAGACCTGAATTGGAATAAAATAAAAGATTTACCTCCTAATATCGGGACTTTATGGACAGAATTGAGAGAACTGTGGTTGGGTTTCAACGAACTGAGATATATTCCGGAGTCAGTATGTGATCTAAAAAAGTTAGAAGTACTGGATGTGAGGTTCAACAAATTAGAACGTCTTACTCCGTCACTGACCAGACTTACAAATTTGAAGTCGTTTTACTGTAGCCAAATTGAAGGAGTGTTATTAGGACATGTGTGGATTGTGAACAACCCATCGGAATTCAGGAAACTATGGGATAGATTGTTTACACAAAAAACAGGTATGTAAACAATGTCGTGTTAAGCAATTTGATAGTTATCATTCAAAAACACTTATTATTGTATTATCAACATTTTCTTAAATACTGTTTTGAGTATCTTATATATTTGATACATGTATAATCATATAAATAGACATGTTGTTGACATAAGTGCGAACATGACAGAAAACACCATTTTGTTACGTATTTCTATAACGTTAACTTTCGACCAATGAAGGACATTCCAGCCTAGGGTTCAGTATCCTACCGAGCCTATAAATAGGACGCGCAAGTATTTTAGCGCCAGTCTTTACCGCGTTGTTGTGTTCACAACATTTGCTTACATATTTCTTTATGGTAAATTCTCCGGTATATCAGTGGATATATTGTAGTGACGTAATAAACTACTCCACGTGTTTGTCCCCGTTCGGATGAAGTTCGGACGAAAATTTTGTATTTTGGACATGCTTTGTCAGTTGTCATTCAAATTTAGTACATAGATGATACATGTTAGGGTACATGTCCTTACCGTCCGTGAGTTTCTGAGTCTTTCTGTCCGTCCGTCTGTGTGTCAGTCTGTCCATGCGTCAGTCTGTCCGGAGTCATATTTCTGAATCCTGTTGACCGATTCCCTTCATTTTTTGCATGTGCCTAGCACCTTATGAGGGACATATGCACATGCAGTGGTTTAACGATTCGCTTCAAAATGGCCGACTGGCAGCCATCTTGTTTTTTGAAAATTTTGTATTTTGGACATGCTTTGTCAGTTGTCATTCAAACTTGGTACATAGATTATACATGTTAGGATACATGTCCATGACGATTTATTTCGTAATTGGATCAAAGATGGTCGACTGGCAGGCATCTTGTTGGTTTTTTTATGCGGTATTTTGGACTTGCTCTGTCAGTTTTCATTCAAATTTGGCACATACATATACTTTACACATGTTAGTATGCATGTCCATGACAATTTGTTTCAAAATCTTGTCAAAGCTGGCCGATTGACAGCCATCTGACTATTTGGCCTTACTACTATATTTCCCTAATTTATGTACCATTTTTATTCGTATTTGGCACATACATCATACATATCAGTGTGTTTCATAATCAGATCAAAGATGGCCGAATAACGGCTGTTTTAATTTTTGGCCATATTACTACTACACAGAACACGTGTTTGACGTAAATAAACAATCTGTTATATACGCCACTTGGAACTCAAGTTTCAAGAACACACTCGCGACAACCCCTCCGCTTTAATGTGACGAACACAAAGAGAACTTTCAAACATTTAACGGGGACTGTGTCATTTTCAATGACTTGTTACTTACGTATTCGTTTCTTGTGATTGATTTGTTTGCATAGCCTGGCATTTCTTACTTATTTTGGATATAACCCAGTCACGAATCATAACCCCACATAAATTTGGTGCCGAGACCAGGATTTTGACCAAGTTATAGGCTTAACTGAGAAACCATGCCGACTTCAAATGCTTCAGATCATACACAATCCATCGGTCAACCCGATACTGTAGCTTCTCTCAAGTTGAACAAAAAAATGCAACGTGGAAATACTGATTCGGAACAATAACAAATTGGTAATCCTGTAAAACGAAACTCTACAAGAAGTCTTTCTAGGGAGTGGGGCCTGCAAAGTAATAATTTGCCCATTGCGTCGGAAAGGTATGTCCCGATTTGCTGCACTGTGGTTTATTGCGTTTTTTACTACTCTGTTGCCGGTGACATTAATTACCAAAGATTAAAAAAAAGTGAAATTAAGGAAAAAAATTTCAACTGCAGACGAGACAGCCAAAGAAAAAACAAACCCTGACCTCTAGAAATACCTCAGTCATAGAGTGCCTCAGTACCGAGGGACGCCACTGAAGCGACGTAATGCATGTTGTGACATCGCGACCGATGCATTCTGGGTCACAAGGGGCATTCTGATTGAGCTAACAAAGATGGCAGCGCAGAGTGCATGTCTTTCCGCGATGTTTAAAAAAACATCTCGCTGGCGAGTTTGATTTCTAAGATAACCGTTAATTAATCTTTTTAATTATCAAAACACTCTAAATTTTTGTACTTTTTAAACAAAAAAGCCAGAGACAGATGATCGCAACAGCAGCAGTGAATACCTCTGGTGATCGTAGCATTAGGCACAAGGTATAGAAAGATCAATGAAAAATCGCTGACTTAAGTTTTGAAATGCCGTTGTAGAAAAAAAAATATTATTGATTTTTTTAATTTCTAAGTCATATTCTGATAACCTGCAATCTGGCAGACTAATTTAACCAAAAATTGTTTTTACCCACGTCATATGGGCTGACAGTTACATGGGCACTAAAACTGACTATACTTGCTGTACACAAAATAATGACGGTCCAGTTACCACCATGGATAACAATATATATATTTTGCTGTTCTATTTCAAACTTTATTTGACTTGATGCACACATATATGAGCTATAAAATATATCTTATTTATTGTAGTTACTGTATCACAATGTTTGTTAGAGAAACTAATTATTATATAAATTAGATGTGTTGTTATGAAAAGTAGCCGCGATGCTTGGCATGTAGTCTGGAGAGAAAACTGATGTATTTGAGTTAATGAAAATACCTGGCACAAATGTTGTTATGTTTGTTAAAATCCAGGTGCTTGCTGGTTTTCTACCAAAATATAAGAACGCTATTCCTATTTGCAAATTGATTGTAATAAGAGAACCAGTGAGCCACTTTATTTATTATAAAATGAAAATCTATATTTTACCACTATTTACGGATCTAGAGTGTGCTGAAGGTCGGATACTTTGCTGCCAATATCCCCAACATTGCTCCCGGAAAATGTCAAAAGCTAACACTTACGTGACAACTGGTGCGATAAAATCCAACCAGATGGTGTCACAATTATCACAAAATACTAGATGTAGCCTAAATCTCTGGGAAAATTATTAAATGAATAAATTTTACATTTTTCCGTAAAAAAATCACGTACCGTTATCTCTATACAAGCAGCTGTTTTTACAGTGAAAGCGCCCTCACATGTTCTTTTTAAAGCGGTCTTTCAGATTTTGTCTTTATTACAGTTAACTCAGACATCTTGCTAAATTTTATTGATATTTGATAAAAGTATGAATCGACCTACATGCAATTACATTAACTTATTATGCTCTGATCACGCAGGAGCTATTTAGAGTTTAACTTTGATTTTCAGATCATGTAGTTTTGATGACCAACTATTTTACAACACTGTATTCTACATCTCTTTAAGTGCATAATATGCTATGTTGCTTTCATCAATGGATTTTAGGTGTTTATATAGACTGTCGACAGTCGGTCGCACCTAATATTAATATGTTATTATTAATAAATATTGTGTATAAACGTAAAAGGCGTGAATAAATTGCGAACGCCGGGACAGGAAGTATGGAGTGCCGTTAGGCACGATCGACTGTTCGGTGCTGCAATTCACTGGTAAGATTTCTTACCAGATCCGGGTACTTTCATATGCAAATGATAGTCGCGCAGATGTTTATCACTGTATCGTGGCCAATCATGAAAAGGGTCTGGGGTCGTTGGATAATAGGGCCGTCCACGACTTACGAGTTTGTTTTGACTGTACTACAGTATATGCGTTCGCGACACTTTCCATACCAGTTTTTTGATATCATGTCATAAACAAATCTTGACGTGGAAAACCAACGCATTCAGAGGGTCATTTAAAATAAATTTGCAGCATTATGTTAATATAATTTATTTCGTGATGTCTGCATCAACTATCAATTATTTATATCAACTAGAAGCCTGCAGATGGGGACAGTCTCTCGGAACTAATGTCCCTCGCGTAAAATGGTTCGAATTTCGAATCAAACTGCAGTTTGTTCCCACATTTATCCAGCATATGTTAAAATTGGTAGTTAGGTTGTTTCAGTAATTTTTTTTTTTTAAATTTTACGTGGTTGTTGTTAGTACCACTGAAAAGATGGAGTTCAGCTTTTCAGTTTTCCTAGCCTTGTCACCTGTCCATTATTGCATCCATTGAACCATTTGTATTAAAAGTCACTCCAAGATATGTATGTGTTGTTTTTCTATTGCATGTTTTGAAAATATTCTCTGTATCGCCTGTCTGCATATGCATGCATATACTCCTGTAAGATTTATCTGATTTTTGAATATACAGAGGTCTTTCCAGCATTTTTAATGATTGTCCTTTTCATTGGGATTGATGTACCTCACAATTTAGGCCAAGAAATACAGTTTATTTTCAGTTTGGTTTAGAGAATTAAAATCATGCTATAATGTAGTTTTTCATAAAAATTAAATTTGTTCTCGTTTATTCTTTTCTACAATTCTCACGTCTGTATATTCACAGTTGTAAATATTGTGTTATACATATTTTACTTTTGTTTCTGCCTTGTCATCAAAAAATGTGTGCCTGGGATGTATTTTAATGGGAAGGTCAAGGTGGCAAAAATTGATTGGTCTGTGTAGGTTATTATGTTTTATTGCATATATTGATTGGTCTATGTAGTTTAACATTGTTTATTGTATATATTGATTGGTCTATGTAGGTTAATATGGTTTATTGCATGTATTGTTTTGTCTTTGCATGTTAATATGGTTTATTGCATGTATTAATTGGTCTATGTAGTTTAATATGGTTTATTACATGTATTGATTGGTCTGTGTAGGTTAATATGGTTTATTGCATGTATTGATTGGTCTATGTAGTTGTTTTAATATGGTTATTGCATGTATTGATTGGATTATCTTGGTTAATACGCTACATTGCATTATTGATGGGTCTATGTAGTTTAATATGGTTTATTGCGTGTATTGATGGGTCTGTGTTGGTTAATATAATTTGTTGCATGTATTGATTGGTCTGTGATGATAATATGGTTCATTGCATGTATTGATTAGTCTGTGTAGGTTAATATGGTTTATTGCATGCATTGATTGGTCTTTCTAGGTTAATATGGTTTATTGATTGCATTATCTAGGTTAATATGGTTTATTGCATGTATTAATTGGATATCTAGGTTAATATGGTTTATTGAAAGTATTGATTGGTCTATGTAGTTTAAAATGGTTTATTGCATGTATTGATTGTTCTATGTAGTTGAGTACGGTTTACTGCATGTACTGATTGGTCCATGTAGGTTAATATGGTTTATTACATTATTGATTGGTTGTGTATGTTAATATTGTTTATTGCATGTATTGATTGGATTATCTAGGTTAATAGGGTTTATTGCATGTATTGCTTGGTCTGTAGGTTAATATGGTTTATGGCATGTATTGATTGGTCTATGTAGTTTGTTAATATAGTATATTACATGTATTGATAAGTCTGTGTAGTTTAATATGGTCTATGGCATGTATTGCTTGGTCTGTAGGGTAATATGGTTTATTGCATGTATTGATTGGTCTAGGTAGTTTAATATGGTTAATTGCATTTATTGATTGGTCCATGTAGATTAATATAGTTTATTGCATGTATTGATTAGTCGATGGGTTGATATGGTTTATTGCATGTATTGATTGGGCTGTGTAGGTTAATATGGTTTATTGCATGTATTGATTGGCCTATACGGTTTATTGCATGTGTTGATTGGTCCATGCTTATTTTCTCCAGAGAGGTCTTATATCATCTACAAATAACATTACCTCTAAATATTAACTCTAAAAAAACTGCTCTTAAATAGACATTGACATTATGATGTAGTGTCCCTAAGGCTATAGTTTATAATACTTTTGTTGACTGGCAATTTTCAAGTCGCATCTTGGTAGGCAAATTTAACAATGTTAGTTAAACAATAATATGCTCCATGAAATTTTTGAGCTTTTTAGCTCCGCTGTCGACTTTGTCGAGCGGAGCTTATTATATGAGTGATCGTCCGTCGGCGTCCGTGTCAATGTTATACTTTTTGACTTCTTTTTGAAAACTACAAGCCTGAATGCTCTGATACTTGGTGTGTATGTACCTCGGATAGACCTCTCTTAGATTTGTTCATTTCCTGATGATATCTTCAATTCTTTAATTTTTGTGAATATTTTTGTAATTTTTGGTAAAAAGTGATATTTTTGACTTCTTGTTAAAAACCGCAAGTCCGATTGCTTTGATATTACATATATAGGTACTACATGTGGACCTCTCTAAGATTTGTTCATTTCGTGATGATATCTTCAATTATCTAATTTTGATGAATATTTATGTAATGTTTTGGTAAAAAGTGATATTTTTGAATTCTTGTTGAAAACAGCAAGTCCGATTGATATACATACTATACATATTGTTTATTTTCTAATGATATATTCAGTTCTTTAATTTAAATGTGCATTGTTAACAGTGGAGCTATCTCAGCCGAGAGGCTGCTTGTTTAACAATCCTTTCATTTCACTGAAAACCTATTACCTAGATGTCCTTAAACATTTCAGAGGTCAAATCTCAGCTTGGTCATTCATCCATATGTTCAAATGTATTTGTGGTTGGTATACATATTATGACAGCCAGTATTTACTTGATGTTGACTACTGGATTTGATTTTTGCATACATTAACCTGTGCTGACAATCATGACAGATATCTGTTATCTCCGTGGTTATAATGCCATTATTTTATGTTGCAGTGATTCGTGCCTATATTGCGATGTGTGGACCTTATTCAGCGGGGAAATCTTCCACGAAAAACCACATGGTTGGTGTGCCATTTAAAATAAAGTGTCGGAGTACCAAAGGTGGTGATGTTTTGTCTTTGAATTTAGATGATTGGACTATCATACATAAAGGTAAACATTTCTATGTAATTAGCAACTACAGCAGGTGCCAAAATAAACTGAACATGAACATTTTTTTCTTGGAACACTGCTATATCTCAGGAACCTTCTGAGTGTGAGGAATTTGACTTTCAACTTCTGGAAACACTTTTTATAACGTTGTTATATTTTTGACAATGGTGTTCAAATTGTATGCTTGTGATTGAATAATAATCCATACATTTCATATGAAAATGGTTTGTCTATTCACTGCATTGTTTGAATTTAGTCTAGTTACAGATTATCTGCGAATTATATGAGAAAGTTGTGTACTGTATTATTTCCGAGAAATCTCACACATGGAAAATTGCCAGCATATAATACAAAAATGGATAGAGACTGGTTCATCATTATTTGGAACCAGAATTGTAACTGCTTATTACAGCGTATGACGTGGAAATGTACTAATCTGTTGCTATCTGAGTCACTGGGTTGGTTTGGCTTATGTTTGGCTTATGCTTATGTGTGAGCTTCGAATACGAACGCAATGTTCAACACCACCAATGAGATTTGATTGACATTGACGGTGATGAATGTTACTTACATAACACGTAAATTGTAGTTGGCCTCACTGAGATACCGCATTGGTTGTGGAATATGGAAAAAGGAACCGAAGCATGCACACTGCTCACACAATATGCTAATAACATTTACCAAGATTATGATGAAAACATGTCTTCTGAATAATATTTGAAAGTGAACTTATTAATAGAAAGCATTTATTATGAAATTCCGGAATCACGTATATTCGGTCTTGACCCCCACTCTGTCTATTGTGGTAATTTGAAGACTGTACACGCTTTCTATCATACTAAACTGGTCATCAAATTTAACAATTGTTTCCGGCCTTTACACTGTAGTCTGCATAAGCGTAGGCATGCCTGAATTAGTTTCATTGAATACAGTGCCATCGGTAGTTGTTCCCGGCTCCATGCGTCAAGTTTATAACCCTGTGATATTATGTCATTTTATTTGTGATTTTGGCGTTATAAACAATTTGCTTCCAAAATCACTAATCTAACAGGAATTGTTAAATATCCTTTAAATTTGTGATAATTGATATTGTGTTTATGTTAATAATTCAGCACGTAGCAAGAAATCTAGAGGTGATTTCTATAAGAGTCCGGATACTACCAGAAGCACATCACGAACAATTAAAATTCATGTAGAGAATAAAGAGAGTCTGCAAGCATCAAGCGATGGACCATCAGCTGAAAAGTTAAGACGTGTTGAAGAACGTATAAGACAAGTAGAGGACACTGAATCAATTGACTGCGATGCCACCATCCTCGACTTTGCAGGACAACATGTGTATGAAATTTCACATCAGGTTAGTTGTATGTTCATGTTTTTACCACAATGTTTCACATGTTTGACACCATCAAGCAAAGTCTTATATCAGAAAATAGAAATGACACAAAGCATGTGTGTTATTCTTCAGTTTATTACAGTTAAATAAAAAGATTTCTGCATCTGCATGTCATAGGGCGTCCTCCATTGAAAACCCAAACTCAAAAGTTCTTGTTTATGAAACCTTGTCTTTGTGAAGCTTTTATTTGTAAACAAACCATTGTAAACGTGATTTTTACAATTCACACTAGATGTCTTTTTTTCGCAATAACAATAATAAATTTCATGTAGAGATGTTATTTCCTTGATGTCCATATAAACGTTAGAGGTGGCTCTAAGACAACATTTATAATGTGTAATGTCAAAGAATGTTTTTTGAACATTATAATCTGTCAATTTATCAAATCTAGTGCTATTATATTCATTAGAGCATGTTTGAATGAAGTTCAAAATGGAAACTTCTGTGTGTCTGTACATTTGTGCCTGTATATTGGATACGCCTGGAAGATTATGTTCATACGTTATATATGATATTTGCTGACTAGTAGATATTTGTATCAAATGTTAAACAAAAGCTCTATCTCAGACATTTCTTGACTGACCACACTCTTCACACTGCCTCATTAATAAGCTAATATATTCAAAAAAAGATTAGATAGACATTTTGCCAAACACCATTTAAACAATGAAAAAATAATCTTTTATACCATTTAGTGTATCGACCCATGTTTTAATAATCAGATATTTTTATCAAAATCCTGTCTATTCATTAACATGCCTTTGTTCGGTTAACTCGTCATCATTAAATGTGAACATTTTCCAATTGATTGAGAACATGATGTTTTCTTGTAAGTTTTAATGTTTTCCCTGTTTTCATTTGTATACAAAGGAAATATTATGTCTTCAGGATTCTTATAATTATTTTCCAATTTTATCTTAGATATTTATGGCTGAGAAAGGATTGTACATTCTTGTGGTTGATTTATCAAAAACCCTTGATGACATATATGAGCATGATATGGGTAGTGATAATAGAGAGGAAATTACTGTCAAAGGTATTTTATTGAAAATTTTCTTCAATGGGTAGGTTCCTGATTATTCATAGAATGTATTGAAAGTATTAATAATAAGCACTAAAAAGAAGCTGAACTGTCACATTAGTACCAATTTTGATAATACATTTGCCCACTAGAAAGCCCCCTGCTCATATGTTTGAATTGTACTTGTAGGCGTGCGAGCTTGTTAAAAAATTCTTCGAATGCAGAACATATACATTCAAGGTCGAGTGTCTGACTGCTTTCCAAATACCTGATTTTTAACAATTCTAAAGGATTTTCAAAAATGCAAACATAATTTAAGTGGCTTTCATCTCAGAAACTTGATTTGTTCTCAGAGTGTGTACTTTGACTACTTCTAGGGTTGGATTCTCATAATCCCTGTGGAACTTTACTTGATACACCTAACTTGAACACTCATGTTTTTTTTATTTCTATAATCCCTTTTGATAGTAGCTCTCATCATAGATATTTGACTGTTGTTAAAAAGTGGATCAACAAAGCATGATCGAATCATTGAAAAATGTAACAGTCATTTACTACAGCTGGATGTACCAGTACACGAATTTACTCTATTTTCACCATCGCTATAGTATTTACAAACTAAAGTTCATACATACTAACACTATTGCTGCTGGACATTGTTGACATGAGCACACACAGATCTTGCTTACAGAACATGTTAGGCCAACTTACATGTCTACACAGGCAGTACAGCAACACATATTGGTGCCTCTCAGTTATTAAGGTCAGAAAAAACAAATACAATCATAGTCAATGTGCATGGAGATAACATAGTTAATTATGTATGTCAAAGCAATTAAACAATTTATTGTAGTTATTCGTTTGATTTTCATTTGTATTCAGAGTATATCTGTGGCTGGATGAATTCAATACATTCACATACAGCTGATGGGGACAAAGTAGTGGAAAACATCATTGTCGTTGGAACAAAAACAGATTTAATAACAGAGGTAGTGTATTCTTTAAATAATCTGACCAGATATGAACCATTGTTTTATGTGTATTATTTTGGTTATGTATAAAATTGTTCATGTTATATGGTTTTACAATTTTTTATATGTTTACTATTACGTTAGTTCATGAATCTGTTGATTTTATTCACTGTAATTACTATGAAACCACAGATCACTGTTTTCGAAACTATATCAGCTGATATTTTTTTATTTCAACTTCAACTCTTAAATATTTTTCATCTAGCTGTATCATTTCTTAAGCTGTAGTCGCCTTACCCTAATGTAACAATTTAAATGTTTTGATTTCAGGAATTAGTTAAGAGTCGTGTTAATGAATTAGCAAAGTTTTTGAGGACTGAATTGATGGATCCTGCCAAACATATTGCATGGCCCATAATTTATCTCAGCAACAAACCTTCACCAGATGGTAAACCAAGTGATGGCATGAAGTGTCTCAAAGCGAAAATACGGGACATTGTATCTAAGATGATGTATAAAGTGTCCTTTGAGTGGTTGCTGTTCGAGCTTAGACTCAATCAGAGTCTGATATATCAAAACAGTTCGATAATGGAGATGACTGACGTATACACAATTGGTGAGGAGATATCACTATGCAAAGAGGAGGTTGATAAGGCCATTGCATTCTTTCACAGCACTCGTGACATCATACACTTTAAAGGTGATTCAAAAGTCAGTAGTAAGGTGATCGTAAGTCCACAATGGTTTATTGATCTGTTACGACTTGTCATCAATCACACCTTCCCTCTTGCGGAAAAGCATGATCTCTCCCAGGAAAACCACATTTTGTATGACAAGTTGTGCACCCATGGAAAGTTGGATGTAGAATGGGTGAGATGGGTGCTGAATAAAGAAGACCGTGCTGGAGATGAAGATATCCTGATCAAGCTATTCCAGCTGTATGATATCATTTATCCATGTCCACCAGAGTCGGGGTCAGAGGTCACTGAGTACTACATGGCATGCCTTATGAACCGCAAAGCTGAACCTGCTCTACTGTCTCCTTTGAATAGTACATCAAGCCCAACACTGTGCTACCACTTTGACCGCAGATATTTACCCAATAGTTTGTACCACCAACTAGTCATCAGATGTACCAAGAAGTGGCAATACGCTAAATTATTCCACAAACATACCCGTTTTTTTATTGGTAATAAGCATGTTCTCATCATGTCCATGACAAAATCTGACATCACACTTACAGTGAAAACAGACCCCGCAGGGAGCAAAGCTGTGAAGTTAAAATCATCCTATGGTCCAGAAGTAAGAGAATATGTCGAGAACAACCTGAATGACCTGATTAAGAGATACAACCCTGGTCTGTCATACACACCATGCTTGAAGTGTTCATGTGGTAAACATGCATTAAAGATTACACCTGATGGGAAGGATATGGATGATGGTTGTGTTGATCGTAGTAAAGATGGATGCATACATACTCATGAAATCTATGCGTATGATTGGTACTACTGGGATTCATCATGTGAGTATTTTATTTTATTGATCAAAGTAAAAAACTTGTTTGGTTTTTATTCTTGGCAAGTGTATGTTATAGAATTTGTTTCAGTCATCTGCAGTATTAATTAATTGTAATGAAACACCGATCGAATGACACTTTTAAAATCAGTACTATAGGTATTGAATGGCTTCCAAGGAAGAAAAACACTGTCCCAAACCTTGCCACTGTAAGCTGGCAATCTACCCCTAATACCATAACACACTGTCTCAAACCTTGCCACTGTAAGCTGACAATCTACCCCTAACACTATAACACACTGTCCCAAACCTTGCCACTGTAAGCTGACAATGTACTCCTTACACTATAACACAATATCCCTAACCTATGCCACTGTAAGCTGAGAATCTACCCCTTACACTATAACACACTGTTCGAAACTTTGCTACTATAAGCTGATAATTTTCCCCATACACTATAATACACGGACCCAAACCTTGCCTCTGTAAGCTGACAATCTACCCCTAACACTATAACACACTGTCCCAAAACTTGCCACATTAAGCTGGCAGTCTACCCCTTACAATATAACACACTTTCCCAAACCTTGCCACTGTATGCTGACAATCTACTCCCTACACTATAACACACTGTCACGAACCTTCCCACTGTAAGCTGACAATACCTTTTACACTATAACACACTGTCCCAAAACTTGCCACATTAAGATGGCAGTCTACCCCTTACACTATAAAACACTGTTCCAAACCTTGCCACTGTAACCTTACAATAAACCGTAACACACTATCACCCAAAGAAAAAAACAGCTTGAAATATTGTGAGGTTAATGCTAACTTATAATATATTAATGCATGTAGTTTGAGTAAATTGTAGATGTACACTACACAGAAGCATGATTTTTTCAATCAACTAAATAGCAGCTCTTTTGAAGTCTGGGACTACCACAATACAAAACCTTATGACTGTATCGGATTCCAATTTGATATAAATGAAAGTTACAAAGTATATGTTGGATGACAAGGACTACATTTTTTATTTTGCTCATTTGCTTTTCAATGTTGAGTTCAAAAGTCAAATTTGTCATGTTTGACTACCAGCTACTTTTGCCTACTGGCGTTTTTATTCTCACTGCAAATCAATAATATATACTATATTTGTATGTTGTTCTGGTAGCACAAGAGACAAATTGGGTCAATTCTCCCAATTATTAATAATATAATATATATATTATCGCTATGAAGAGAGAAATGTGACTGGTAATATTGAATATATACTTGTGGTGTTCTGACGTTTTTCTGTCATTAGTCGAGAAATGTCCTATATTGATTATTCGCAGCCAAAGACCATCCTGTCATCATCAAGTTAGATGTGAAATCTGACAAAACTTTATCGGTTGAGTGGAATCTAGGTAAAGAGACAAAAGGCTTTCTAGAGATATCTGAAGATAAACGTGAATGGAAATATGTGGACGTGAATGATACGACTGGTTCTTACACGTTTGAAAGATTACATTCCCAGACTACATACTATTGCAGAGTAAAAGTTGAATGTGATATGTTAGATATTGGTAGCTATACAGTGTCTGCAGATACCAAAGGTACATATTTATGATACTAAACTTGAATGCTACTATTGTATTAGGTTCAAGAATAGAATCTGATATTAGTAGCTATACTGTCTATAAATACTGGAGGTACATATTTATGATACTAAACTTGTATACTACTACTGTATTAGGTTCATAAATAGAATCTGATATTAGTAGCTATACTGTCTATAAATACTGGAGGTATATATTTATGACACTAAACTTGTATACTACTACTGTATTAGGTTTAAGAATATAATCTGATATTAGTAGCTATACTGTCTATAAATACTGGAGGTATATATTTATGACACTGAACTTGTATACTACTACTGTATTAGGTTTAAGAATAGAATCTGATATTAGTAGCTATACTGTCTATAAATACTGGAGGTATATATTTATGACC